CTTTTTAGATACCCATGCAACCGGTGTCATTAAAAAGTACCCAAAAAAATCACATCTGTCAAACGATCTGAAACCGCCGCACATGATCATATATTACCGAGAAAACGACGATACTCTGTTGAAAGTAATTTGAATAAAATTTTCGAAAGACCCCTAAAAAACAGGCACGGGCGATGTTTTTTAAATGTTTGGCACATGGCTTTTTATTCCCTCTTCCTTTCGGTTTTTTCTGACAATGGATTTATAATAATGTGGCTATCATTTTGTTTCTTTTTTTTCGGTAAAATCCGGTGGGTTTCGAGTGGCACGTTCCACCCTAGGTCCATAGAATTTCTTATTATTTTTGGGACAGTCTCTACCAAAAGATTGTAGTGAAAGATTATTTTTTTAGACCACAGGGATTCGTTGAATTTCTGCTTCATTAAAAAAACTTGCGGATTTTTTTTATAGTGGTAAGTATATACAGGGTAATCTACGGTTAAACTTTTTAGACCAAAAATATATATCAATTTTTTGGGATTGCCACCGGTGCTGCCACTATCGGATAATATCGTAAAATTATTATTCTTTTTTAAATAGTTATTAAAAAAACGGGTTGAAATAGAGAGTATACAAAAAAAATTATACAGAGTGGCTCACTTCATTCGCCTCGGTTAATTATACGAAAACGGAAAGATGTAGAAATAAAATATTTTATGGCATATATGTCGGAAGGCAATGTGCATAATTTAAAATTATTTTGAAATGTGCAGGGTATGTCAGAACTAAGATCCACACCAAAGTTATATTTTTTCTTATGGAACACCCGGTATTTTATTTCATATTTGGATCCGTGGACACAAAATAAGACATTTATTATAAAGGTTAAATATATTTACATGCTTTGGTTTTTGAGATATTTAAAGATATTTAGATATGCATGCTGTTATAAAAAAGATTGTCAACACCCTGTACATTGCTTTTCAGAATTAATTCTTATGCTGACTTTTAAGCCAAAGAAATAGCTTTATTGAAAGATTTGATTGCTTTGTTTAATGTATACAGGAGTATCAGAAATTGCTAGTCTATTTTAAATATTTATTTTGCATAAAAACTTCGTTATTTTAATTTTAATTTTATTTTTTAAAATAAATCAAAGCAGATTCAAATGCTCTTTCAAACTATATTAGGGTTTCACATACCTATCTAGCTCAGATTTTGAATAAAGAGCAATTTTTCAATAAAATGGCAACCAATAGGGCTAGACTCGTCAAGGCAAGTTTCTAGTGACAGTAGCTATTTTCAAAATTAAAATTAGTTTATGGACTTTATTTAAATTTATACCAGTTTACTTTTATTTAATTTACCTATAATAGTGTAATAAATGATACTTATTAAATATGTATTTATTATTCTATCAAGAAAAACGAAGAAGTAGTTCTGTGATTTATTTTTCGATGACTTGTAGATATATGGTTTATTTTATTTTATATTTTCTATAAAAGAGTCAATTACGGCAAATTCATTTTCTTCACTTCCAACGACAGGTTTCTGTTTAATTATTTATTGTCGGTTTTTTTTTATAAACCACACTACCAGCTCTGTGAAATAGGACAAGTAGTTTTTCAAAAGAACGCTTATCAGGAAGATTCCTATTTGGATATCTTTGAGCATTGAGCATAAGCCCTTGAGGCCAAGAAGCAATTTTCCTCACAAAATAAAATCACTAGTAACATAATATCCATTCCTTCCGCTAGCAGATAGGTACTGCTTTATTTTTCTTGATAAAATAATGAGTACTTACATATTAAACTATTGTAGGAAAATTTAAGTAAACTGTTATAAATCTAAATGATAATGTCCATAAACTAATGTCGATTTTGAAAATAGTTACTAAATGTCACTGGAAAATTTCCATGGCGATACCAGCCATCTTGATTGCGATTTTATTAAAAAATCGCTTTTTATTCAAAATTTGAGCTATATAGGTACAGGAAACCCTTGAAAGGTATAATATATGAATATAGTTTGAAAGAGCATTTGAATCTCCTTCGATTTATTTTAAAAAATACAGGGTGTTGCATTTGTAATAACGAATTTTTTATATAAAATAAATCCTTAAAATAGATCAGCAATTTTTGGTACCCCTGTATAAATTTAAGGAAGCAGTAACATTTTTCAGTAAAGTTTCTTTCTCCGCCCTTAAACTCAGCACAATAATGAATTCTAAAAAGTAATGAACAGGGTGTTAATAATCTGTTCTATTGTAGTTGCATATTTAAATATCTCAAAAACCAAAGATTTTAAATATATTTAACCCTTATGATATATGTCTTTTTGGGCACAAGAATCCAAAAATGAAATAAAATACCAAGTGTTCCATAAAAAAATATAACTTTGGTATGGATCTTAGTTATGGAACACTCTGTATATTACAAAATAATTTTAAAGTGTGTACGATGCCTCTCCACATATACACATAAAATATCTTGTTTCTACATCTTTCCGTTTTTGTATAATCAACCGAGGCGAATGAAGTGCGCCACCCTGTATAATATAAGAAGTATAATTTGCGACAATTCTAAAAATAAAATAAAAAAGTAAAATTTTGATATTTTCAGATAATTTCTTGTATTATAATTTATTATAAACGCTAATAAAACTTTTTAGGCTAGGACAATTGAGGCTATTTCGGTTACAATGAATTTTTTAAACGTTCATAATTATAATTCTAGAAGATGTTTATAAAAAATTTAAACACTAGTTGATTAAAACAAGTATACCATTAATATTGCAAATTTTTATCCTCTCATAGTATATGCCTATATTTAAGTTTTTGATTATGTAATGGCTTTTTTTACTCACTAAATAACTCTCGAACACTCAGAAATGCTTTTTTAAAAATTTATTTATTACAAAAAAATTGGTTTTAGTACATGTGTATGCTATGATGGTTGACAATCAACTGCTTAATTAAATGAATTAGAATAAAAAGTAAAAAAGTATATGTCAGCTTAATTGTCTTGGTGGGAACGGCTGTCTCTCTTCTTCTTATTGAAGGATAGGAATCTTCTGATATATTTCCTCCCTCTGTAGATTCAAATCCAAGGGTTACAGTGGGATTTGAACATCTAATGGATTTTCTTGACGTACGGGCTTCTTGTAGACATTATCTTGATATGAATCTTCTGATTAAATAAAAACTAATCAATAAGATTATTGATATATAGATAAAGATTGTCCAGATAATAGGAGATGTTGAAAATCAGTATTATCTATTTTCGGCTGATTTTGAAGTATTTTTCCTCTTATATCTTGTAGTTCGTCTAACTCGACATTTTCCAGTGATATTGTTAGGTCCCATATTTTGTGGCGAACTGGTTAGGGTGTTTATCTTTGGGTAGTTAAAACTTTGTTTAGAATATATCTCAGTGTTCTTAACTCTTTGGTTAGGAGTTGAGAGTTCACATCCCTCTGGAATATGAATTATAAGGCTTCCGTTTACTTTCAAAATTTCTTCTTGATGGTGGCAGTGTAACTTGATATTTTCTTCATCGGGGATTATAAAAATCCACTGATTTGAATTTTCGATATGTTTGATGATCGGCCGGTTGACGCGAACATTGTGTTTTGACAAGTGGAAAGGTTTTTAAGCTCAAAAAACTGGACAGTGCAGGGGTTGACTTCTTGGATTTCTAGTAGTTCCACTTCATTGCATTGTGGTATTGCTCTTGGAAGATCTTCGTGCAGGAATCGCTCGAGTACGCGTAGTACAATTTATTCATTATTAGAAATTTATTTTTGGAATTACAGCCTTAAACTGACTTTCTCCCATTATTGGTACGGAATAAATGTGAAATAAGTTAAAATCTGAAGGGTGAATAATGGGTATATTTAAGATGTATGTAATTTTATTTTTAAAAGAATAACTTTCTATTTTAATTAACTTTTCTAGTAACAAAACATTTTTATGATCAAGTTCAATAGGTAATAAAATGTATTTGAGCCACTCTGTATACGTTTCAGTTCTTCCAAGAATTCCAATGGTTTAATTATACTCAGTGCATTTCATCCCTAGTCTAGCAAACGTAACTGAATTTTCAATGTCTTGTGTAATAGAATAAATAATATTATATAGTTCTATAATTTGATTTAAAACATCTTTTATGAACATAGAATTTTCGCGGTGAACTGTTCCATTTATTATAAAATGCAATTTGTTCTAATTTAGATTGAAGCAGTTTTTCATTATGCATTATATTTTTTAATGTATTGTTAAAATTATCGATTAATTTTATAGATAGCGAATTTTGCATTTTAATTGTTTCTGATAATTTATTTTGATTATTTTGAAGTTGTAATATTAGTTTTTCATATCGTTCACCATCACTAGCATCTAGATTACCACTGATAGCTTTGAAAATAGATCCCAAACCATTTATTAGTCCACGTTTTTTCCTTGGAGAATATGGAACTAATTCAGATAATTTATCACTTAATTTGTTTTCGATAAAATTTAAGACTTTTATCACAGATAACACATAATCCAGATGGCTCCTTACGTGTTAAAAATTGTCACCCCAATTTCACTCCAATTTGGAAAAATATTGGAGTGACGTTTGAATAATCTGAAATTTTTAGATTCCTTTTCTAACTTTTTTGGGAGGTTTTGCTTCTCTTGCACAGATGTCGCTTGCACTTCAGTTGCGTGGTTGCCAAACGTTATATCGAAATATATTTCATTTCATTATGAATATATAAAATTAAAAATTATGTAATTTATAAACATGAAATAGATATGGATGTTAGGTAATACCGGATGTTAAATTAATATATAAATATTTAACTTAATACGTACATTATTATTTTATTAATTTATCGTCACACGTCATTTACCAGTTGCCTAATTACGAAAAAGTTTCATATGATATTAACCTCAAAAATGATCTTTGAAAACAAACAACAACAAATAACTCAAAGAAATAACTACATACTACATAATAATAACTGATAATAATGACTTTTAATGGTATAAAAGGCTGATGAAGGTAATTATAAACATTATTTTGAGTTTGTTTAATAAAATATAGGATACAATATAACTAAGCAAAAAATCAAACAGTTTTAGACAACCAATACAAGATTCAGAACTCGGCATCGCGATAAACAAGTAAAATTGTACATTCAGGAACTCGTTTAAATATTATAGGTAAGTAATATTTTCACAAAAGTAAACATAAAGTAATATAGAATATTACCTGTGATAAAATGTTAATTAGTGACGTATATTTATTCTAATCACATTTAAATTTAAACTCAAAATTTTCATAAAAGAAAATGATAATTTTTCATAGATATAAAGTAAATAATATTACATATTTCAGGTTGATTGAAGAATAATCTACAATTGATTAGAGCCTATGACGATGCGAAGATAATTAATCACCTAACTTTAAGAAACCAGCCTAAAGAAGTTTACATGCATCTCATCTAACCATTATAGGTAATAATTTACAAAATTAGTAATTTTTTTGATTATAATATTATGGTACTTTAGGTACATTTTATCTCTAGATCAGTAGTGATTTTTCATAATTTGAATGAACTCACAGATAGCAATGGGGCACCGCACCCCGAAGCAGTATTACAAAATGTGAAATAAAACTGTAGTACATATTGCTCTATAAAATTTAATAGAAATAAATTTATTTATGAAAATTAATGAAGTTTTATCTTTCCTAGGAAAAAAATAACAATTATATTTTGAACAATTAATTTAGAACATTAGAGTTAAAAAAATATATGTGTTAGAAATTGTAACACACATATTTTTTAACTCTATGTTATTCTAACTTAGAATAACATATTTTTAATAAAATTGCGCTTATACTTTATACTTTTTTGCTATTATATCAATAAGAACTAACGTAAGGAGCAATTCATTTATACTATAAACACACATGCATATTTTTTGATCTTTTAAAACCAGTGAATAATGTTGAAATATGCTACACCTTTAATTCTTATTAACTAACTTTATAGCTAGACAGTTGAAAATTTTACAGATAATTAATGTATCTATGTTGCCGCTATAAGAACAAATACTAAAAACAGAATTAAATAAATGTTTATAAATAAAAAAGTACTTTCACTAAACATTATCGTTTAAGTAAGAATTTTACAAAGAATATTCAAGTCCTCGAGTGGCCGTGTGGTTAAAGGCGTTAGGATTTGAAGGCGGTGAGACGTAGTGAGGCAGGTTCGAATCGTAGGCAAGGTGACTGTTTCTTAATCTTTTTTTTTATTTTTACATATTTATTTTTACTTATTTATTATTGATTAATACAATTTTTAGCAATGTGTTTCTTCATTTTTTTTAAATTACTTACAAGCGCATTCAAAATTTCAGCTAAATCGGAAAAAAAGTTTACAATAATATAATGTCTGATGTTGTATAGATAATGTGAATGGTACATTCAATGATAATGAACCCTTCGTGCGCGAGTCCGACCTGCACTTGGCCAATTTTTTTGTTAATTGAAACGTTTAGAATTTGAATATTCGTTCAAAAATTTTTTTTTTAATAAATTTATTTATGATAAACAATTTATTAATGAAAATAATATGACCGAATTTCCTGGAAAGTTTTTCAAATTTGTACATATGAAAACCTAGCTTTACCACTTATCATAGAAAATCTCTATTCCTTCCCTTATCACGGAATAATAAAGGAACGAACCATATGCGACAAAGATAGAAGATTTAGATAGATATGTCGTTACTGTCTTTTGTTTTTAACGGATATTTTAAAAGGCGGGTAATTTACCTTTGACTGTCTTTGATTATAACTGTGTGTGATTAGTGATAATAAAATTATTATTAAAATGTCTGGTAATAAGTGCCAATTTTATAATTGTGGGATTTCTCGGAAATCAGGTGTACATATGTTTAAGTTTCCTGCGTCAAGAGATCCTAATTTATGTACAAAGTGGATAGAAAATTGTGGTGAGTTCATTCATATAGAATTTTTTGCACATTTTGTATGTAAAAAATACGGCGTTAAGTTACCTTAGAAATGGTGATCGATGGCTTTTACCATATACCGTATGATCGAAAAAAAACGGCGTCAGCGATGGCTATGAAATGAAGATCGCTGTCATTTGATATGTAAACCATCAAAAAAAAACCATCATTTCCAAGCCAATCGGACGCCTTTTTTTTTGGATCATACGGTATAATTTAACACATTAAGAATTGTCCATCGTTATTTCTTTATCTATGCAAAGTTTATGATGGATAAATCAAGTAATTAAGTGGATATAAATTATAAATGAATCAGTGAACATAAACTGTTATAAATTATAAGTAATGCAATTATTGAATATACCATACGATCGAAAAAAAAACGGCGTGGGAGTGGGCTTGGAAATGAAGCATATATAGATTAATTGAAAGCATTTTATAAAATATATAGTTATACAGGGTGTCCCCAAAAAAAGTTATACATTAAAGTTGTTTTTTGTAATGGAATACCCTATATATTAATTGATTTTTGATTCCAGGAAAAAATAAAGGTGTGTTTTATTAAAGAAGCATGTGCCTAGAATGTAAGGATTTTGACATATTTCACATTTTGTGAAAATGAAGAATAAAATTTAAATTTCAATAACAGCTATCTATATTGTAATTTATCCTGTATAGCCTGATATTTAGTTACAATAACCATAATATGTTAAACCAAATTAAAATGTGACAGGAAAAGTTATACAGGGTGGGACAAACTTATATTGAACATTTATCACTTTGAAAAGCAAGTTACTCCTTTATTTTAAATGGAACACCCAGTATATTATTTCCGTGTTCAATGGGGGAATTCATATATCTTCAAAATATTATTAAGGTTGCCTACCCCTCTAACAAAGATTTTCCTAGATACTTTCATTTTTATGATTTTGCGTCAGTAGATCTTTATTATTTGAAAAAAATCTAGGTGGCTGTGTTAATTTATCAAAAATTAAAGGATGTAGTATAAAATACTGTAATAAAAACATACGTTTAAAAACACATATATTAATTATCACAGAATTAAAATTAGATATAAATGTATAATTATATAACAAAAATTTGAATCTAAAAGTAGAATCATATCAATTCTTTCTGATGTAGGATAAGTTTCTATTTTCGGAAAATTTCTTAGATTTTTTTGTTTCAACTGACGAACTGACACAAAATAATAACTAGTTGCTAAAGTTGAACTAATTTGACAGCTATGTTAAGTAACGTCAGACATATCACAGCCACCCTAGATTTTATCAAATAATAAAGATCTATTCACACTAAATCATAGAAATGAAAATATCTAGGAAAATCTTTGTTTGAGGGGTAGGCCGGCAACCTTAATAGTATTTGGAAGTGACATGAATTTCCCATTGAATATCGGAATAATATTCTGGGTGATTCAATTAAACTAAAGGATTTATACAGGGTGGGTATTAAAGGAGTTATACAGGTTATACCAATGTTCAACATTAATTTTGCCCCACCCTGTATAACTTTATGGGTCAGGTTTTAATTTGATTAAAGTGCAATAGAGTAAATTCCAATTTAGGTAGTTTTTCTTGAAATTTAAAAATTGTTCTTCAAAATCTTAAGTAAGTCTAAAACCTTACATTTCAGTCATATACTTCCCTAATAAAACACACCTTTATTTTTCTCTTAGAATCTAAAAATTAATTAATAAAGGGGGTATTCCCTTACAAAAAAATACAAATTTGATGTGTAACTTTTTTTGGGGACACCCTGTAGAACTCTCTATATTTTTAAAACGTACGCAGAATTAACTTACATATGATCACAAAATTTCATTTCAATACGAATTGGTCGTTCTCCTTGGAGCCTCCGAGTCATATGAGAGGCGCCACCCTGTATAATTTTTATATAGTTGCACTTTAATAAATTGTTAGTTAAAACTAACAGTCCTACGAGTGTGGAATTTTGTACAGGTGGATTTTGGACATTCATCTCTTAAGAGAGTGAAATAAGGGATGAAAATTTGTACAAACATTTGTTAAAATCGGGTTTAGAAGTATGAAATTCTGTTTGTTCCTTATGTAACGTAATTTAGTAATAACAAGCAATTTTTTTTCAGAACGTCCACACCTCATTTCACCCCGTTAGAGGGCGAATTTCCAAAAATTGTTCCTGAGTGCTAAATTACGTTACATAAGGAACGTCTGCGCAAAATTTCATACTTCCAAAACCGATTTTAATGAATTTTTGTACAAATTTTCATCCCTTAATTCTTATGGGGCGAATGCCTAAAATTCGCTTCTGAGTACTCACTTTCATCACTTGAGGAACCTCTGTGCAAATTTTCATACTTCTAGGACAGATTTTTTTCAGAAAGTTCACCCCTCATTTCACCCCCTTAGAGGGAAAATTTCGAAAAATTGCTTCTTAGTGCTAAATTACCTTATATAAGGAACGTCTGCGAACAATTTTATACTTCTAAAACCGATTTTAACAAATTTTTGTACATATTTTCATCCCTTATTTCTTAAGGGATGAATGCCCAAAATTCGCTTCTGAGTATAACTTTCATCACTTGATGAACCTCTCTGTGCAAATTTTCATACTTCTAGGACAGATTTTTTTCAGAACGTTCACCCTTCATTTCACCCCCTTAGAGGGAAAATTTCCTAAAATTGCCTCTTAGTGCTAAATTAAGTTACATATAGGAACGTCTACGCAGAATTCATACTTCTAAAACCGATTTTAACAAATTTTTATACCAATTTTCATCCCTTATTTCTTAGGGGATGAATGTCCAAAATTTGCTTCTGAGTACTCACTTTCGTCACTTAATTAACAATTTCCAAATTTCAAACTCCTCGGACTAATTTTAAAAAAGTATGCAAAATTTCACCCCCAGTTTCACCCCTTAGTAGAAGAATTTCCTAAAATCGCTTTGTATAATCGAACTGTTAAGTTACGCTACTTAAGGCACCTCTGTGCAAAATTTCGTAGTCCTAGGACATGCTTTTTTTTGTATACAAAAGTACCCCCCATATCACCCCCTTAACGAGCGAATTTCCAAAAATTGCCCCTTAGTGTTCAATTACGTCAGTCAAGGAGCACTCGTGAAAAATTTCATACTCTTAAACCAGATTTTAACAAATTTTTATGCAGCTTTTCATCCCTAATTTCACCCCCTTAGCGGTCGAATTTTCAAAAAATCCCTTCTTAGTGCTCATTTACATCACTTAAGGAACCTATGTGCCAAATTTTATTTATTACTATATAGATAACCTTTACCCTTATTTTCAGCTAATGAATATTAAGAGACAAATAATAAAAATAAAATCTAAATTATAAATTTCATGGCTATAAATAGAATATATATGCATCTAGAAATTCTGACTTTCAAACATCCACTGCGACTAGTATTTTCATATCCAATTGTATAGTATTAAAGTCCGAATATACATTTTCCCTGGGTTTTGACCGGGAATTTGCTTATAAATATGAACAACCGGCTACGTCGCTTCACATCGCGTGGCCGTGGTGTGGCTCGAAATTCGTTCGTTTTAAAAATATTATTAGATTTGGCTATAGGCGCCCTCTGTGTCATTAA